TCAAAAAGGTTACATGTAAACATTGTCACAGAGTTACCCATATCCTGCAGCCATATCCATTACATTAAACTACAGTTAATGCCTGCGGTTTTTAGCAGTTGCCCCTCCAGTCCTTCAGGTACGCTTTTTCTTTTCTGTTATTACAGCCTTTTAAACACAGAAGTAGCTCTACAATTTCAAAGTAGCTCCAAAGTTTTCTTGACTTAAACTGTTACAAAATAGATGCTTATTTATCTGGGTTCCATTCTGCTGTTCTAATTATTGCATTACCCATTGTGTGTGCTATATTCTCTTAGTTTTTCGATCTCAAACCAGTTGTAACAATGTTATTCTGTAACAATGTTTTGTTCGTTATATAGAATAGGTGAAAAGCTGTGGAATTCATGAAGGGCTACAAAAAGCATCCAAAACATGGTTCACCTTGAGAAGGGTAAAGACAGCTTGATAATCTTTGGACAAATGACTAAACAACACTGTGGTGCTAATAGGTACTGAAGTATTTTATGATGTATTCACTATGACTTAAATGACATGTTCAAGGCATGTCAGTGATGCAACTGCATGTGTTTTTGTTCTTAAAGTCTGGACTATTCCAGCAAAGACAGTGTTTGTAATTCCTGGTGGGCCAATTCCTACCTAGCTCTTCTGTGGGAGAGTAATTTCAGGAGGCAGTGTAGGATTTGGCCCAGCACTAATAGCTAAGGTAAAAGCTATACAGGCCACAGAAATTTATGTAGAATGTATTCATCCTGCTGTAGCATATTACTGTATTTAGTTGCTTTGCTTAAGCAAAGGCTAAATATAAATTCTCTAGTAATGGCAAGAAACACTAGGCTAAATTCTGACACCCCTTAACCAAACAATGTTAGTAAGGGTTTGAATTAAAATGAGGATTCAGATCTGAAATATGAATGTTATTTTATGGAATACCAGAAAGGAGGGGTAGAATAAGAGTAAATTCTATCTCTAGCAATGGGAAAAGGCCAAATCTGGTTGACTTTAAGGTGAGCTACGATTTAAAACAGATGGTTTTGGGCTTAAAATCTTGAAAACAAATTTTTTTTCCCTCCCATTTTGAATTGCAATTATTTTGTGTTATTGTGCCTGGACTACTCATGCAGAACAGATATCTGTATCCTAAATAGCACTAAGAGCACTAATAGCACTAATTACACTTCTGGCTGACAAGCCAGAAATTTTACCTCTGTAACAAACTCTGTATTTGAAATTGTGGAGGGAAGTTTCAAAATAAAACAAACAAACAAGAAGTACAAAATGATCCAGAGCTGAGTTTCAATAAAAAAAAGAAGAAAATAATTTTGTGTCAGTGAGATCCATGGTTAAGTGAAGGCTTTCCTCAAAAGAAGACCTGTCCTTTTCCCCAGTTGAGCACTGGGAGTTTTGCCCTTGGCTGCAGTGCATACCTCTACCAAATGACTTATGCAGAAGAGCAACAGTCTGGGTAGTATCTTAAGAGCATGGAGTGGGCACACTGCCTGTAACTGGTTAGTTTTTAAAAAACTCATAATTAAGCAAATGTGTAGAGTATTAGGGAAATTTGTAGGGTATGTCTGACCGTATGAGTGTGTGTGTGTGCTGTGCTGTGGTAAAAAGAGAATAATTGGTTTATGCTGGTTTTTTTGCATACTTTAAGCTTCTGTATGGTTTGGGTTTTTTTAATTGATATTTATTTCTCAGCAGAGCTTAGAATAATTTTGTAGCTGTATAACCCATGACTTAATGAAATCTACTGTCAGCATCTGTTGTAAACATGTGTTTACAAAACAAACTCTTGAATACTTGATACTTGGAAATAAAAAATAGCATATCATGTGTGTTTTATTTCAAACAAAAAGAAGGCAAGAAAAAATGTACATGGGGAACTGTAATCACTGTGGATGAAGTGATGAAGTATTTGGTCTTTTAGTACATTGTCAGACAAAAAATCTTTCCACTGAATTCAATGACCACCAAGTCACAACTAAGCATTGATTGCGCTGAATTAAATTTTAAAATTCCACCATTTTGTCTAGCCATAAATTTGATTGACATTAGTTAAGTTGACATTAATGTCAACTAATTGACATTAGTTGACATTATGCTAAGAAATACAAATTTGAAATAGATATTGACAGTTGGAAAAAATACATAGACTGCAAGACTATGTGCATCTATGCTGCTCGATAAGAGGGCTGGGGTATAAACCCAAGGATTGGACTCCTAATGTCCACTCTGCTGACTGCTGAGTTCACTCCTTGGCTCTGATTTGGGCCACACCATCAAAGTGCCTCTATGTGGTTTGTGGGGACTGGCTGTACTGCAGAGAGCTCCCACTCATGGGAGCTGAGCCCGGTTTGGTTTCCCCCCACCTCTGCAGCCACCCAGCACTGCAGGCTGTGTGTCAGTGACCCCCATGTCCCCGTGCTGCACCTCAGGGACATAGGAGCTGTAGGAGCTCTGCTCCCACCCTGTAGGAGCTCTAGGGGTTGAAACACAGGCCTTGTATTACTGCAAACATTTAAAAATGAAGAGAAATGGAAATTATATTTTGTGTCCACAGGAACATCAGCACAGAGCCAAGGGGAGACCTAGGGCTAAGAGCTACATGTTGTTGATGGGGCCAGCCTGGCCTAGCAGTGTGGATGTGACCTTGCTCATACAATTTGGCTTCAGAGCTAGGTTTTCTATTCTCTGGACTTACTTTAATTTAAAACTATAGGTGTATCCATGGTTGGCAATTCTGTCCCAAGGTGGCCTGGTCTTTCAAGATCAAACAAACAGCAAGTTGAAGTTAAATGTATTTTTCTAGACATATTTCATTATTGAATCTTTATACTTACAGTTTTTTGACCTGTAGTAGGTTTCACAGCTGGGTGAGCTGGGGCTTGTTTCTATGAAACTTCTTCACTGTTCAGTGTACTGTGAATACTATGAGCCACCACACCCCAGCAATGACCAAACGAGCAAAAAGTTTGCTGCAGCGGGGCAGCTGAATTTGCATTGATTCAGGATATGGCTTGTCTTTCAGAGGTATCTAAATCCATTTGCTTTCAGACCACAGTCACAAACTGTGGTGATGTGCCCAGCACCTACCAGATTCAAGCCCTCAGCCAACCCTGCAGCTTCAGTTATTGTGCTTAGTCAGGAAGAAGCTACTGTTTCATTGACAGCACAGAAATCTATAGGGTCCAGATCCTCTGTGATGTTCATCTTCAAAGTATGACTTGCACTTTTTCATTTCCAATATATCTAACCACACAAAAAAGCATCTTGCAGATCCCCCTAGATGTCACTAGTGTCCCAGACCAGAACTGTTAAACCAAGGAGTGTGCTGTGGATGAAGTTAGTAGATTTGTAGCACATCACGGTACCGTTGCTGTTTGAAAACCGATTAGATAACCCACTTGGCAGCGGCTGGAAGCACAGCGGTGGGTGCAGGGCTCAAGGAGAGGCGCTTGTTGTGTGGCTCTGCACTGACACCTGCTGCCCGAAAGGGTGTAAAGTAACCCTAGGCAGCCCCCAGGTAACTCAGGCTGTGACTGTGTCCCCTCAGCGGACAGAAACACATCTGTTTCCGAAATGACTCTTTGGCTTGTACCCCATTTACTACATATCAGGTTTCACTGCAAAATGGTGTCAGAGCACGCAAACAGGACTGTTTTTTGCTGAAAGTAAAGGATGTTTTGTGACAGCATCACACCTACCAGACACCAGCCATCCACAGGTGCTCAGGCCACAAGTCTAGGCCTGGGCAGATCCTCCCTGAACAGGGCTGTTGCAGTTCTTGCCTTCTCAGCCTTGACTGTTTTACACACAGATCCTCCCACTGTGCTTGCATGACTTCCACTATAGATAGCTGCAGGCATCTAAAGGGATTTTAGTGGGGAGGGTGGGGGTGGTCTATGCTCAGACCTGAACTCTGAAAAAATCTTCACTCAACTGTCACAAAAACCTAGAGGTGGATGAACTCCAGAACAATGTTCTGATCCAAATGTTTTTTTGCTTTTGTTTTTGTTTTTGTTTTTTTTTTTCCCCAAAGTGTTAGAGTGCGTTAACACCTCAGGAACAACAGGATTTACTTGCCAACAACAGCTCTTAAGTTATGTCCCTGCCCATGGTGGGAGGCTGGAATTAGATGATTTTTAAGGCCCCTTCTGACCCAAACTATTCTGTAATTCTTTGTCTGTAGTTCTGGAAAAGAAGCACTATACATCTTTGCTTTTCTTCAGGGTTCAGTTGCTAGGTCTCAGAAAGTGTCTCACGCTGTCCAAGGGTGTGAGGACAATACTGGCCACCCTATTTTAAATTCGAGGAGAAACTTTTCACATAACATTGTACCTCCCAAAGATGTGTAAGCCTTAAAGTTCTTCAGCTCCAGGCACTCTTCAGAAAGTAATGAACAGAATAGACACATCTGCCACTGCTCTGCAGATCAGAAAAAGCCAAGAACGTCCTCCTCTCAACCCTTCCCTTGCCTTGAGTGCTTGCTGATGAAGTCAGATTTAGGCACTTGTTTTGTTCCTGAGCCTGCAACTGCCTAATGCCTGTAAAAGCTTCCTGACAGTGACACCATGTGCTGCTTGTGGACTCAACGCTTCAGCTACAGGACAAGAAGTACTGTACAGAAAGAAATGCAAAAGATATTCAGAAAGCAACACACTGCTTAGGATGCATATTTAGGGATACGACAGATTTTGCCCTCTTTAACTTGACCTAGTTTTATATTTGATGCATGTTTCCAAGAGAGCAAGGATCAGAATTCATTGCTCTCTGTACCTCTTGGCTACAGAATGAGTCTTTTATACTTTCCTCCACACTCCTGTAAGAGAGCTGTAAAAAAGGCTCCCACCTAGTTTAGAAGATAGGGCACTGTCTAAGCTTCTGATAGTTTAGAAGACTGAGCACTGTCCTAGAAGTTTCCATTTCCTAAGTGAGTACTTCAAGCTCTCAGGTAAGAAGGAAGGACAAGTGAATGGGTGGACCACACTATTGCACCATGCCCTTCTTTATCTCTACCTAAGCATTAAGAGAGAAGAAAGCATCTTGCTTGGTTCTTTCAAAGAAGAGCTCTTCTAAAGAATGTAGGGGACATTGTTGGTGCTGGATAATTCCCTGCAAAAGATAGGAAAGGTAGTTATATGGGACCTTGCTTCAATTTGCCTTTGTCCTTCAAGTCCTCCCAAACTCACTGGCTCAGCCTACTCTGCACCCTGTTTTGAAATACATCCTGTACTTCCCAGTGTGCTTTCCAGGGCAGACATCTCTCAGGGTCTATCTGGCACTGCAATGACTGCTTTTTGAACACTTAGGTTCACCCTCTTTCCTGATTCCCATAAATTTCATCTGTCACTTCACACTGGCCGGAGCATCAGTGTCCAAGGACTATGTAAAAGAAAGAAGAGTTCAAGAAGCACAGATTCAGAGGCTGAGTTTGGGTATGAAGCTAATCTTATTCACAGCCTGTCGAACAAACACAGAGTGCAAGTAAGAGGGAGTGAGGGAGTTTACTTTGAAACCTAAATTCTTTTTTGTGATGACTCTTGTACAGCGAGACACTCCTCCTGGCTAAAGATCTGTGGTCCACTCTTGGTAAGCCCTGTGTGTCCTGTCTACTGTGCTTTGCTGTCACAGGGAGAACTCTTCAGGGAGGAGAGAGAGCAGCAAAGCAGGACATGGCTTTATGTAATGTTGCCTGCCTTCTGGGAACTGCTGGTTGTGCAGCTCGGTGCATTGACTTCCAGGAAGAAAGGACCAGATGAGTTTGGAATTAAAAAACATAAAGTCACAGCATGTCTTAAACAAAGAAATATATATTATTCACATCTCCAGGAATAATTTATAGCTAACAGAATGTTGTGTGTTATTTTGTTACCCGTTGTTTTAAATGTGGATGGATTCTTAAAACTCGAACTGTTAACATACTTTTAAAATAAAACTTATTTAGGAGGAAAATTGGATCATCTGGACTTCTCTGAAGCAGGTAAAGTAAAACACTTTTTATTTCAAGAAATATTGCTTCTAGACTTTCCCGAAGCCAGAATTGTACTATAAAAGTATCACAGAAGTATTATACAAGATTTAAAAACACAGTTTATATCCTAGTAACTTAAAACCTATGTACAAATAGCATCATTCATGACCATAAATATGTTTTTCTATCAATCAGCCCATGACACATACATCAGATAAAGAACTAGTAATTTTAACATATTTACAGAGTCCATCAAAAAGACTGCTTCTTAAAATTATTAATCCTACTAAAAGAATCTCCTTTTTAAAAAGTTTCAACTTAAAATACAATGTAATGAATGTAAGTTTAACCTGCAGTGCTTGCAATAGCCAAAAAATACTCACTACACTAAATAACATGTAAGAGATAGGAAACACCCGTGAGTTGGACACTATGGAATTACACCTTTTGAGGTAATTCTCTGTTGTTGTTGTTGTGCTAATTATTTAGAAATTTATGAAAAAGCAAGGGAAAATATTAAGTTTTGAGTAGTACAGATTTCAAAGTCATTTTGGTATTATACTTCATAAAATTTAATGTTTGGTAAAGTTCAAGAAAAAATTTAGAATACAACAAAAATTATCTAAACTACTATTTTTTAACCTCGTGTGCCTTTTGTTTCTAAAATAATGGAAATCTAACATGATTTTATCATTCCCTTTTATGCCTGTTCAAAACAAAGAAAGAATTTAAGACTCAAAATGATAATGCTTTCAAGATATTGTTCAGAATAATAAAAATCAGGTGGGGTGATAAAAGCATTTATCTATTGATGTAATATGCTTTTTACCAGTATCAGCAAAAAAAAAAAGTCAAAAAAATTAATGGAATTTTAATACTGACAGTATCAACATATAGGGAAACAATCCAATTTAAACAAATCCTTCTACAGTTAACAATCATTAGCCATACCTTTCTGAGAGTAAATTTAATTAAAGTAACAAAAACATGCAATATTTTTGCTAAAATAATACTCAAAGAGTCTGTTTCCTCAATTCATTCTGTATACCTCTTTCCTGTCAATCTATTTATTGGTTTCACAATTTCATGAAACAATGAGCAAACTAAGAACCTGTAAGGTATTAGATTCATAAATGGTATGGCATACAGATTTTAAAAGTGCATTTTACTTGAAAGTGTGACAGTAAGAATTGCCAGTGGTTAAAATAAGTGATGAGAAAGACATTGTGCAGGCATAGTGGGTGAAATGAAACACTCATTCATGGTGGGATCGTTTGGAAATAGAGAAAGTAACTGGACATCCTCTTCAAAGAAATAATTTTTAGCTTTCCCATTTCAAAGTTAACACTGTTTCTTTTAATGAAAAACTGGAAATCTTGCTTCCCAGTGGGGAGAATTACAGTGAAAGCATGTGCATGTAAATAAAAGAAAATGCACACAAATACTGAACTGGGCTCAATTTAGCTGCAAAATGTATCTACAATAAACATGGAATGTCAGTTGCCATGATTACCTTTATTAGTTTGCTAATAAGAAAAAGGAGAACTTATTTAATGGTTTACAACTGGATCTAATCCAAGGAGAGTGGAGCTGAGGCACTGCCTTCTACATTTAGGATTTGTGAACTTTCTTCTGCAAGACTCTGTTCTGGTTTTTTTAAGAAAGTTCCTGCTTTCTGGGTACTGATAGGTGAATCCCTAATGGATATGTTTACAGCCTGATGAACGAGGGGTTCATCAGACCTCATGGGAAGATACATTTGATCCTCAAATATATCTTCCATAGTGTCACTATCCTGATGAGCGTCTTTTTGAGGAATGCTGATGGGCTGTAGCATGAAGGTGTGACGGGACTCCAACTCTATCAAACCATTTCCACTGAAATCCATATCAAAACGGTCCGATTCTTTATCCTCCATCCATTTTTCAGCTTGATGACTATTTTTCCAGTGTGCGTCAGTCAAACTACTTTTCTCAGGAATATCATTGTTTAATTCAAGTTTCCTCTCCTGACTTAAAGTCACTGTGCTCAGAGCAAGGGCTGCAAAGTCCGTTGGCACAATCAGCTGCAACTCTTCTGCAGTCAGGCCGCTCGATTCTTCAGCAGAAGTCATTTCCACCAAGGTAAAAGGCGTGGATGATTCGTCCCCATTCCCGTTGCTTCGAGCAGTATTATCCTTGTCTGTTTGATTTTGCTGGTAGTAACTGTTCAGCAGTGCAAACATTCTATCTACATCCTTCAAGTAATTAGTCCAGTCAGCCAGACTAAGTCTAAAGTTGTATCTGTATTCATATACACTTTCATTCACACTGTACAAGTCTTCCAGTCCTTGCCAGTCAATGTCGCCAGTGAAACTGGGCAGGTTAGCCTTCCCATCCATCCCATAACTGTCCTCTGTTGAAAGAAAGAATAAAGCCTAGTGGTGAACACTATTAAAAGTGCAAGCAAAGCTTCCATATGTGCTTCTACTCCAATTTGCTTGAAAGCACCACTAGTTCATAAAGTAGGTAGCTCAAAATGTAAGACACTCCACCTCTTCTGTCATCACATGAATGGTTCTGGCCTTGGATATGTTCACAGCTCTTGCTAAACACACAGCAATAACGCCCCTGTCTTCCGCTACATTCTTGGGCTGAGTAAAAAAGAATAAAATCTAGTCTAATGGGGCTTTGTGATGGCATTCAGAGGTAAGTCTTTCCTCTGATATTTCAAGGTAGGAAAGGTGTTTCAATACACAAATTCACCTTTCCTGAACACTGCAGCAAAATATGCAATAACCAAACAGTGTTTAAGTATAAAAGATGGGACGAACTCTGAAAACCACTGGTGACCTGAACTTCAATGCCCACGTGAATTTGGTTTCTAGGTAGCTTAAGAAATAAGATCTACAAACTGACCAGACACAATTTATTTAATAAATGATAGCCAAAGGTGGTTTTTATCTATTTTGTAAACATTGATTTTCATTTATATGGAGCAATTAGGGGAAATAAAAGCTGTAAAAAATTGGTGTGAATTAATTTATAGGACGGCACCACTTTGTAAAATAGTGTTAAAATATACACAGATAGAGAATCTTCTTAAGGTTTTTTTTTTAAAAAAAACTTTCAAAGAAAATATCCAACAGCCTTATCAGATAATAAGTCTGAATAAAGGACATAGATATAAGTCTAAAAGTAGCAATGGAGCTGCATTTTTTATTGATCACAGCCAGAAAATGCAAAGACATGAAGGAAACTCATTTCCAAAGTATTTTAAAAAGTCACTACTGTAACTATAGTTACTCAGATTATCAACCGTGGTGTGAAGCCTATTTTATATTGACGAATAACACAGAACAGCACTGTTTTATTTAATTCACTGTGTAGACTGGGTTCAGTCCAAAGATTTTATCAACTAAGTGGTCTACAAGGAAAAACTAATCAGGAAATGCAAACGTCTGTCAGTAAAAGTGACAAATTTGTCCAACAGTGTGAACTGAGCTCAAATATTCATTTGTATTGAGCCTTTCATCTCTATAGTTGGTTCTTGGCATCTCCATTAATTTGTTTGCATTTTAAGTCGCCCTTTCTCATTATTTAAGTAAAACAGAGGATAAAACTTCTTTCTATCACAGATTATATTCTTTGCTTCTTAGTAGCTTGGCATTTCATAGTGCAAAGCATTTCTCCAATATTTAGTCCATCATATGGAAAGTCAAAAATATACCATTATGGTCAGGGAAAAACTTTGAGATTTTCTTATGATGTGGGGTATTATTCTGCTCCCACCAAAAGGACATCATTTTCCATACTTGAAAACACTTGAATATTTGCTCTTGTTATTTTTTTTACTTCATGCAATTGTAAATATTTGACAACATAAAATTTAACTATTTTCTTTTTTTTCAAATCTAGATCTAGAAATTTTTTTTTTTTTGCAAACATTTGGCAAACTTCCTGTTTCAGGAAGAAACACAAACTCTTTGGATTTGGTAGCACAGCTAGGACAGAGCTTCCTTCTTTCTTTTCCTGAAGTAGACAAGAGAAATGAAATCATAGCATGGCCACTTGAGAGCCACCTTGGCAAATCAAATATGGATAATTTGTTTCCTGAAACAAAAGATAATTCAATACCACAGAGATTTCAAGAAAGAAGACTTACTATTCCAGTGCTGAGAGGCAAAAAGGGCATCACAGGCAGGGATGCCTTTTCAGGTAATTTAGTCACCAAACCCTCTAACATATTAACTGTGCTGCAAATGTGATGATATTTAAATTTTTTTCTGTTATTATTTCTATTGATAGTTTTGTAATTTTTTTCTTTTATACATTAGAGCCTGTATAGGAAAACAAACTGCTGTGGGGACAATAAGTGGCCAAAGCAATTTGCTGTGTTATGGCAGAAACTGAAACAGGAGTGATGTTTGACCGGTAACCAGTTTGGGGATGGACCAGGGCAGTGATGGGGCAAAGAAGGAGACAGAAAAGTGTCTTTGGGCCCAGAAGAGCCTCTGCTGCCTATCCCCAGCAGTGGGACAGAGGGTTGAGCTGAGCAAGCTGGAGTGGCAGGCTGGGCAGTGGGGAAGTCATAGGACCAGTGAAGAGGAACAGGGTTTTTAAGAAGCCTTGCAGCAGGGCAATGGGACTGTGCTGTGGAGGAGCAGGATCAGCAAGGAGTTTGTTGTATTCCTACAAAACAGCTGAAAGTCTGAGCTACATGGTTCTTCACGCTGGATCTAACTTTCACCCTCTAAATGTAGCACCGTTTCTGCAGTTTCAGAGATGTTTCACAGCTGTAAAGGCATTGGGAATTGTTCCTTGATCTTCATGTCAAGCAGGAGAAAATAGCTCGTTAGAACACACAGGACAGAGGTAACTTGTATTCATACATGTTAAATAAAGGGGAAAGCAAAGTCTTAAGGTCCTAGAGCTGACTATGTTGGTTGACTGAGCAAGTTACCTCACATCTTAATCCCACGACTTGCAGGAAGCCTGAAATTTTCCTACTGAAATCAAAGCATACAGAGGGAAGAAGAGAGGAAAGAAAAGGTTTTCCCCTGTAAGAAATTTCATTACAAATAGATGTAAAACAGGAAAGTGCAGATGAGTTGCATTTGAGTAACAGCATGGCAGTAGTTTCCTTGACCAATATTTTGGAATTTCTCAGCTATGACACAGACCCAGAAGAGAGAAAAATTGTTGCTAACTGTTCACAGCAAAACTTATTCAGGTTTTTTGTTTGTTTTTAAATCAAGCATTAGTTAAGCTTTGCTCTCCATTTATCATACCCTGGAGTCTTATGATGCCATCTGTGGATGCATTGTCTCAAAACTCAGAAGAGATTTGAATATGTCTCCTCTGAGACTAAAGACAGGTAGGTACAATCATATCCTTGGTGGCTTTGAAAACCTTCAGAGAAGTAGGAGAGGAGAGAGGAACGTGCAGTTCACAAATCCTGTTTGCAACTATGCCTGCAGAGCCACATTCTGTCCATCAAAGGACAGAGGTGACACTAGTTCTTCCCTGCTGAAGCTCTCTCCCTGTGTCAAGCAAACATCACTATACTGGCTATTTCCATACCAGCCTGTCGCCCCAGTGTTTTACTTGCAACACAAGTAGTGCAACTCATGGCATTTTGAACTGGAAACAGGTCCGAGTGGAGAAAGCGCATGAAGGAAGCCTAAAGGGCAGCTCAGATGATTTAGCAGCACAGGGCTCTTCCTTTCTTGTTCCATTTGTTTCTCTGCAGGCATCAAGAAAAGGATCCTCTAAGAGATGGTTTTAATGATTCCCGATAAATTTGTTTTATTAATTTAATTTTTTTTGTTGTTTTAGAAAAGAAAAACATAGTCCACCAATATGGAGCTTGAACCAAAATACTGAACTCAGGCATCTGCATATATTGAGAAACTGGGTGTCTGGAGCAATAACGCTTGTGTTATACTGTACCTGGTATTTATTCCAGTAGCAAAATGTTTATTTTATTTTCTGTTGGTATTAGAAGTTAAAATGTTTTTATTACTAAACAGTGTAGCAAGATATAATTTAAAGATTAATCCGGTGTGCTCTACTATTTCATGCAATCCTACAATTCAAAAATGCCATTTTTGTTAGATCTGTAGTTAAAATGAGGAATGCTTACAAGGACACCTTCTAATTAAAGACTTAAAAGCATAATTATAGGGATTACTTTCTATCATTGCAGTAACCAGTTCCCACCAGGATGTAACGAGCAATGCAAACATCGGGATACAATCCAAATGAGAGCTTATGGTTTTCCTAGGTCCCAAAACTACTCAAGTGAGAAGATACAAAGTTGGCTGCAAGAAAATTAGCTGCATAAATTGGAGATCTATAAAACATTGAAACATATTAGCTTAATTGTTCCCTGGCTGTTGGAAGCTAATGACAAGGTTCTTTTCAGAAGACCCTGTGAAAAAAGTCTTGTGTAGAGTTGTATGCCCCTTGGACCCAGTTTACCTCTCAGGTAAGCAGTGTATATATCAGGAGCTACTCCTCCAAAGCGCACAGAGATGAAAATGCATAAAACTGATAAACTGTGTAAAGGAGTCAAGTCTAGATATGACACTCGACAGATGTTAATCTGTTTTTCAGCCTGAGGACAAGTACTGCTCAATGAACAGCAAGTGCAGTACTGTTAAGATCTGCGGTTTTTCAGTCTCTTCAGGTTTTTGCTTTACGTTTGAGTTGTTTCTCTAGCAGCAGACACAGGCCTCTGCATGATAAACATGTAGGTACAATAAGTATACTTGGAAGCAGAAAAATATACTTGCAAACAGCCTACTTTCATGTAGGTTCAAGTGTTAGTTATAAAAAACCTCACCTGGTGCCCTTCCTTAGTTCAAATAATACAACCTTCTTAAGAAATTTCATTTCATGCTTGTCTGATCTGGTCCCAGCCCAAAGGAGCCTCATCTTTCTGCCATACTTATACTGAACAGTCTCCCGCTGGCTTCTGAGCACATGCTGCTCATATTGAGCACTGCTTTTCCTTAAAGCAGCATCTGCCAGCATTTCCTAAAGCCAGTGAGAAGATTTTACTTTACTTTCATAGGTTTGATTAGGCTCTTTGTACTGCAGAAAGCTTTTTAAGCACATTTGGTTTACATTTAAAAAGCAGCTGTACAGACTTCGTAAATAAAACCAGAAAAAAACCTCCAACCCATCCAAAATCCACCCGATAATATGAAAGTAACCCAAAAGAGGTGATTCTTTTTGTGTCATTTTCCTAGGGTAAACATTTAAGAAATACAGGCATGAAATATGAGCTGTATGAAGTCTTGCTATGACAATGAGCTACATTAAATGCAGAATGGTAGATCTAAAAACCAATGGCCAAGTTCAGTGTAAAGTAGTTAGAAAATGCATGCATCAAAAGCTATGCTGTGTGCAACATGGCAGGATACAGACATTAGTTGAAATGGACTGGAGTCATGCAATTATTTGGAAAGAAGCTGCTGAGTAGAATAAAAAAGTGTGGATACCTGTGTGGATCATAGCTTCCTCCATCTTTATTTCCTGATATAGGAAAATACAAGAGTAACTTTTGTTAGTGTTTAGAACTTGTAAAACCATTCACAATGTAGTTTTCCATGCACAGCATCTAATTCCTAAAAAGAAATGTACTGTGTTAAATAAAGACAGAGCTGCAGTCCAACAGAGATTTCCTGGAAGTTTTATATAAAAGAACTGAAAAACCACAGTTTTTCAAAAATAATAAAACCCCAATACAATCAGATATTGTAAAAAAGAGAAATATTTGCAGATGAAGAAAGAGATACAAAGATGCAACACCACAAACAATGTAGAAGGGAATGTTCCTGTAAAAAAAATGAATCGCAATGTTCAGTCAACCAAAGTTAAGTGCAATGAATTCCAGTGATTTGAAGAAAAAATACCAGCTACTTTTGTACTCAGAGACTCTTGTAAAGAAATATTGTTTTCTTAAGAAAATGAAGACTACTGGTGATTAGAAGTTTACAATGTTAAGTCTCAGTGGTGGTGTAGGGCCTGAAGTTGTTCGCATAGGCAGACAGCAACCTGAGTAAACACAAGATTTAATACCTCACCTGATACTGGGAGGCAAAAACTAACCAAATAAATCCTGCAATAGAGAAAAGAATTATGATTATGAAGATCTGCGTGTACTTGTTATGGATTAGTTCCAAAAACATGATATCCTTTCTGTAGCATTTCTCTCAAATGCTGTTGTTTGCCATCAATATCTGTTGAGAATAATCTGTGCAAACTCGCAAAGAAGCTTCCTGGTCATGTTTTTTTGTAGGTGTATATGGACCATTCCAAACTATTCAGAGCAACACTTAGGGGAGTGACACTTCATGCATATAATTAGTACTTAAGTAGATGAAAAAAGTATGAATAAAATGGAAATAAACACTACTATTTATCTTGTACCTGTTTCAAGTCCCTTCGGCCTTGGATTGCACTGCTTATAACCTTGACAACTGCGCAGTTCCATCAGCTGTATGTGTAATTGATTTAAAATGCCTCTTTCCACTGTGTGCACTGTGTTGGTCAGCTGAGAAAGAGAGGAATGGAGGGAAACAATACTTGTTAACAGAAATAAAAAAAAATCCTAGAGGAGTCTGGTGAACAGCATTTCGTAACAGGGAACAGGGTTTACCTGATAAGGATCAGTGTTCATATCAAAATATTCCAAGAAGCCAGTTGCAAACTCACAAAAGAGAAAATTGTGGGTGTCATTGACTGTTCGCAAACACCAGTAAGTGTTGTTATTCGAGCTTGTGCAAGCACAGAAAGAGCCCACTGTAATTAAAGAAACAAGTTATTAGTTTTCAGTGAAAAATAATATGCTTGTTTCTTCTACTAGTATCTTTAATTCCAATAATAAAACATAAACATTGCCTTATATTTTTATTTAGATTTATTTAGATTTGAGTACTGTGATTAGCTGTAACAGTATCAAAGTTTTCTGAACAAGCTTCATAAAAACAGTAATGGTATTATAACACATTAGCTCTTCTTTAAACTATGGACTGTGTCAAAGGGACATTTTTTTACCCCATGACTGCTGCTGGAGCACTGCCAGAATGCACAGTAACATGAGAACTCTTCATAACTGTTTGTAACTCCACAGTTAAAAAGTAATTAGCCAACTTAATTGTTGTCTTTATAACAAAAATCATGCATATGACTACTTTAAGTACATTTTAAAATGTACTTTAAAAATACATATTAGCAGAAGTCTTAGTGCAATCAGAACAGATTATCATTAAGAGACTATTTCTTTCTCCAAATGAAAAGTTGTTCTTAGCAAATTTTCTGCTTGGAGTCAAATATGTTGTAACTTAATCATCACCTGATCTTGAAAAAGTTTTTGCAAGTAAACTTTTCAAGCACTTTTCTTTCTCCATCACAAAAGATGAGAAAGGTAATTTTTTTGTTAATGCAGAATACCGAGAAATGTTGAAGGATGCCTCAATAGGACAGTTTTCTTTATACCCTGAAATTTAGAGACTTAAAATATCTTTCAGCTCTAATACTTTCTTCATATACGCCATGAGTGCTACACAGTTGTGGTTTTAAAATTACTTTAGCATATAAAAAATGGGAATAATGGGAAGAATTCATAGGGGATAGTGATGATAAGTTGTTTATTATACACATTGAAATAAAAATGTTTAAGTAGACCTGTGCTGAAGTTTGTGACAACACTAAAGGTCAAAATAATGCTCTGATTGCACAAAGTGGAAAAACTGTAATAAGAGCAGAGGATAACCTGGATCACATCTGCATGTAGACATAAAACTTACAGTTCCAGAATGGAGCTGTTTGCCAGTGGTTGTTGTCATGTGTAAAACACGTCAGTCCAGGAAGGCTACACTCGTCTCCTTTCTTCTGGCGCCTTTTCCCCTTCCTTTCCTTCTTCCTTCTCCGGTTCTCTTTGAACAGCTGCAGTTTGCCATCCACTTCCTGTGCTGCTTCTCTGTTTAGAGAGAAAGTTGGGCACAGCTGACTAAGAACAGTCTCTGCTTGGTTAGCAACAGCACTAACAGTTTTCATATCTTTCTGGGTTTTTTAAAGGTGTGAGGATAAAAATATGACTTTCTCCTATCTCAACTTCCACCCCAGCTATTGTGACAAGGTGTTCCCTTCAGCAAGCATGAGAAATGACACACTGCTGCATTTACCGTCAACTAAATCTTTTTAAAAACCATTGATCAGTTTAGGATATAATTATTTTCATCCATTTTCTATCAATAGGTTTAAAAAATATTATCCATAAGCATTCACAAGCTGGTCCAAAACTACTGAATGTTTTTTGTGAGAGCTTGCTCCATGTGACCTTTACTTTTCCTCACCCCCTCCTTTCCTCTCTAGATAAAAAAAACCCAACGAAACCCCAAACCAAAAAACACCAAATCCCAAAACTACATTTCTCCAGTCACCAAAAAGCCAACTATGAGAATGAGAGGATAATAACAATCTTACTTGAAGGGATGAAGATGGCTCTTGAGTTTCTCTTGGGCTTTCACCCCTTTCTCTTTGTTGTAATAGCTACAGGAAAAATTATTAGGAATTATTTGCACCACAAAACCAAAACAGAAACATACTATCTTTGACATTTTCTTAAGAAACTATACAGAATAACTTACAATTTTCACTTCATGTATGAAAGTTAAATCTGTGTGAATGATCCCATTCTAGGTTGTAGCAAAACTACAGCTAGATTCAAACATGTTAGTAGAATACAAATATATTTAATCTTAAAATGTTAAAAGTTATCTTCTTGAGATTCACAGTAGCTTCTACTTATAAAATGTATCTAACTAAAATAGGTACCCTACAATGGTTATAAATATCAATAAAGGTTAGGTTCTTTATTTTCCAACTCAAAAAACCCTGGAAAATGTGTGACCTTAGTCATAGTGTAGCTTTCAGTATTTAATGCCATCTCTCTTACCTCTGTTTACTACAATCACATTCATCTGGCTTTCTTCTTTTTAGGTGACCTCTAACTTCCCTCAAATTCTTAATTTTGTCTTGGAGAGCTTCAATCTGCAGAGAATATTTCCGAGTTTCAATTATTTCGACATTTCAATTATTCTTTGAAAAGATAGCAGTGTGAAGACTTCATTCAGGTTTTAAAATACCTCTTACCTCCTTATCAATGTAAGCCTTGTGGTCCTTCCAGGCTCTGGCAGATTGGTACAGCTCCCTCTCACAGTGAATAGTGTCATTTGGAAGAATAAAACATCTGTAGTCACGAGTTTAAGAAACAGAAAAAAGAAGGTCAATGATTTCCCAGTTGCCTACCCATTTTTTCTCTTTCTTCTGACATTCTTAATCAATTAATTTTTATGGTCTGTTAATAAATAAATAAACTCGACCAGGCCCTCTTATGCTAACTTAATAATAATAATTGCATTCATTTGTTTTCTTTGAAAAAAAAAATCCTCATCCATGACAGATGCTCTCTGCCTGGTAAGCAAAAAAATGCATTAACATTCTTAATCAATTAGAAATTAAATTGAAACTGAAGTAAAAATCTGTTCAGAGTTTAAAGCCTCTTGTTAATCAAATGTGCCATTGTTTATTTAACCACCAGCTTCAGCAGAACCCTTCTTTTAATTTTTGAGAGGAACAGCAGAAAAAATATGTAGATGCCTATCTCTTCCCATGTTATCCTGTTCTGTTTTTTGCCTTGTTCAAAGAATTCCTAAAGCAATGCTGTGTTCTGTAAAGGTCAAAACACTTTATGGAGAAATAATAACTTTCCTGGAAAACGATTTAAAACTTTATTAATTCCATGATTGGAAATTATCAATGTAAAAAAAGGGATGACTTTTACCTATTCAAAACTAACTTTTATGTTTTCCTCAAAAAAAAAAAATAAAGAAGACAAAAAGAAATAAATACTTATGTTTTAAGTGCAAAAAAAGGGACTAAAGAGAGATTTTTGTAGCCTGCATCTTTCTGGTTTTTCAGATCCCTCACATTAGCTTTTTTAAGCTAAAAAATAATTTGAGATGTTTGCCTTTTCATTCAGATTTAGTGTAGGGCTAAAAATTGAAATCTAAACAACATTCAGGATGGGAAAATGATTGCAGATTTCTTCAGGATCATAGAATCCTAGACGGTTTGCTTTGGAAGGGACCTTAAAGATCATCTAGTTCTAAATTCCCTGCCATGGGTACCCACTAGACAAGGTTGCTCATGGCCACATTCAACCTGGCTTTTAACACTTCCAGGGATAGGGCATCCACAGCTTCTCTGGGCAACCTGTTCCAGTGCTCTACTACCCTCTGAGTAAATAATTTCTTCCTGAAATCTAATGTAAATCTGTCCTCTTTTAGTTTAAAACTGTTCCTCCTTGTCCTATAATTTTCTGCCCATGTAAAATATCACAAGACCCTTTTAGGTACTGGAAGGCTGCTATAAGGTGTCCCCAGAACCTTCTCCATGCTGAACAGCCCCAGCTCTCTCAGCCTGAATAAACAGGCCTAATGTATCTTAGGTAATGCGAATGGCTGCAAACAACCAAGTATTAAGAAACATGATGTAACTGATCTAATCTATCCTCATGTAGAGTGGGATTTCAGTCATCTCAAATTTGGGCCCCTATGTCAAGCTGGTAGCCTAGACTATAATGAACAGCAGGAGCATCAGCTTAACAGGATGATTAATCCATCATAAAATGCATGTTTCTATATGGAGGATGAAACTATCTCTGGAGATGCCTACTCCTCCTCAGAAATAAAACCTAAACTAGAGGCCTCCTTTTAAAATACATATACTAAATATAAATGATTCCACTTCCTAAAAAATACAACTCAGGTTTATCTAAAATCCAGGATGACAGTTTTAAGTTTCTAAATATTGTATGGAGACAGTGAGGACACAATTAGAAAATGAAGACTTCATTTGAAGAAGAAAAGAAAACAACACAGAAAAAGCAATCATACTTGTGTGTCACTCTAACAGAGCTGGGTTGACCTATGGCATCAGCGCCATCAGCGAACATTGCATCACCAACAGCACCAGCAATTTCCTCCGTTTCTTCCTCATTTTCAGAATTGTGACGCTTGGTGATACTCCTGGTCTTTAACACCTGTAATTCTTCTTCTTCCAGATTTATGTCATATATTTCACCTTCAAATTCCACAGACAAGGACCGGGTTTGGCGAGTGTGAACAAATCGGGGTTTGTATTCTGAAGCAGAAGAAAGAAACATTTCCAGTTGTATATATGTATCTACATGACCCACGCCATGAACACAAAACACATCCCAAGGAACAAGAATGATGTTCAGTAAAACCAGCTTATTTTTCCTCTGACTTTACAGAAACATATTTAATGACTTTTGATACATTGTGACCCTCACTTTCATGAGTAGCATGTAATTGCTATCACTTCAAGGTTTGCATTTCACATTAGTCTGACCTTATGCCAGAATTAGCATCTATATCTGCAAATAAAATCAGTATCTCAGAAATCAGGTATCTAAAAAGAGACACACAAATCAGAGATCGCAGGGTTACAAACCACTTTAGAAAATTAAACCCTTCACCACTGTGAAAGAAGTGCAAATTGGCATGTGACATGTTTGACTTATACTTCAGAATAAAAATGACTTTTTAAACAGTTAACACATTTTCCTTTTTAAAGGTAAGAATTAAAATGGTATGAATCCATCAGATATCAGTCTATACGTATCTGTATGTATCTATATGTACATATGTACATATACTTTGACACACATGTCACCTGTACTTATGTGTGCAAGTCATAGATCACCAAAAAATTGCCTCATTGCAGAGCTACAATGAGATTTATTATGTCACTTTCACCCCTTGAAAGCTCTGAGCTTAGTAGGGTTGCAGCTCTTTTAGTTATTGCGTATGTGAGTAAGACTAATGAGACAATTAACTCTTTGAGGGATTTTTAATGTTATGTACAAGAAAACCTGTGTTGGGGCTCAGTCTGAAAGACCTTAACTTCTTTTGCTAAATGCACTTGATTAAACTAAGCTGATAAAACCCACAGTCAATACCATACCAAAGCATGTTCTGTCTAGCAAAATCACACACAGAGATCTCCAGAAATACAAAATTTATCTTGTAAAAAAATCAGTTGTAGGGCATTTCCATTTGTTACATCTATGCTGAGCACACCTAAGTCACATAACAATTCTTCATGCAGCAGAAAATGGTAGCTGTAAGAAAGTACTGCCTTTGTCGGGTAGTGTCGGTTCTACTCACAGTTTTTATGTTCGTGTCTTTAAGAATATCACACTGAACCTCTCCTGCAAGAATCTTTTAGAAGTGCAGTTAATGAGTCTGATTCAACTTTTCATTCAAACTACCCTGTCCTGAGGGTCTTTAATAAAATTATGCAGAAACATTCATAGAGTCAGATGGGACAACCTCTTCCATTTCACAGCCTCTGATGATACTATTTAATAATCAAGTGACTGAAAGGATGGAATATATATGCATCTCATCCACATGTCATCTGAAGACTGAGGCCTGAACTCCTCATTCTCTCAACAATGTCTCTTCATTGTGAGTCTTTCCCTGCACTACTCAGAGGAGTGATAAAGCTGATTTGGAGGAGACAGAGCAGGGAAGCATAAGAATGTTGTAAAGGAGAAAATCATAACAAAAGAACTTTTTCTGATGCCTCTTTCAGATGTTTTCCCTCCTTTCCCTACTTTCTCTCCCTAGGTAACTTCCCTTGGTTGCAATCCTCATTCAGTCCTTGCTGTGACTTGGCAATACCTCTTTCCAAGGTATGCAGCAGTTATCTCCCTTTGAAAATATCACTTGAGGGAACATTCCCCAGTTTGAGAATCACTCTGGTAGTCTGTGGCATGTAGACTTTCCAGGAGAGGTCTGCTTGTACACATTGTGAGGTTCCTTAGATCATATTAAACAAATGGAAGAAATTATATCAGGGCAACACTTAGTCTGAACAATGAGACAACTTAAGACAGACAATATTGTAGTGGAAAGCACAAAAAATACTAGGGATTCTTGTTCACATCCAGAGTGGAGCTCTAGATAAGGAAATATTTTTAATTATACTGACATTGTTTTCTTATTTCATAGACATCTGTGCAGAATCTTCTAACTTCTGTGCTTCTCATAGGACTTCACTATCTTATTGCTTTAAAGACCCATCTTTACTTTATTCCCCAGTCTAGTATTCTAATTAGAGTGCAAGAGAATACAGCCTGCTCTTGAACCAAGTCTAAAATCCGGGGTCACTTCTGTTGCTATAGCTACAGAACTTCACTTTCATTGCTTGGCAGAGAGAAGAAAATACTTGCTCCGTTTAAAATTATGGCTTCTTTAAACAGCCTTCTTTTGTAGAAATCATTACCAGAAACAAACACGTCCTAAAACCCTCTTGTACATTCCCTTCAGCCCATGCTCCACTAGAGGACACTGCAATCTCACTCGTGTCCCTGCGGGGATCCCGCTATGGACGTGCAGGGAAGTGAGATCCAAGCAGTGTTTCAGGTCCGTGAGCAGCCCCAGCATCACAGTGCAACAGGTGACTGCGGGTTAGCACTGAACAACGAGTGAATTCAGCTTTAACGATGAAAGAAAACACTTGCACTGGCCACCTCGGCAAGTAACAGCACTGATTCACCCGCGGATGCCACAGGGTTGTTATGTCGGAGCAGCGCGAGAGGTGGCACCAGAGCATCGCCACAACCACCACTGCAAAGGCAGCCTAAAGGCTATTCCTCACTGTGATCCAAAGGACAAATATTGTTATTATTGTTATAATTGGAATCACAAAATGGTTTGCCTTGGAAGGGACCTAAAAGACCATCTATTTCCACCCCCCCCCCCCCCCCGACATGGGCAGGAACACTGGCCACTAGACAGGTTGCTCAAAGCCCCATCCGACCTGGTCTTGAACACTTCCAGGAAGGTGGTGTCCACAACTTCTCTGGACAACCTGTTCCAGTGCCTCACCACCCTCGCAGTACTGAATTTCTTCCTAATAGCTAATCCAAACCTACTCCTTTCCAGTTTAAAGCCATTACCCCTTGTCCTATCACTACATAATCTTATAAGAAGTCTCTCTCCAGTTTAGGCCCCCTTTAGGTAGTAGTCTTAAATGGGCTTAAACCACTCTTGCCGTGGTTTAAGCCCATTAGGCTTAGTACTTCTTTAGGTACTTATTACAGAGGCAATTATGTAGAACCCGACTACAAACTACAGACGTCTTCATTAAACACAGAGGTGAAAGCAAGAGCATACTGGTAGGACAATGCTCTGCTAGCCATTTTCCTCTGCTCTTTGCCTCAGAGCCCAAGAGATAAATAACACTTACTTTGCGCATTAGGGTTTCTCAAGAACTGTCTTTGATTTTTTCTCTGGGTCCTGCTGTTTCGGTAATCAGCGCCTCCACAGTTGCAGTCTTTGTCTTTACCACTATATCCCCGGGAGTGAATGCTGCGGGTTCTCTTCCTGATGGCAAGTATGTCACTAGGCACCTTACACTTGTGAATTCGAAGTTTGCCAGAAGCATCCTCTGTGCACTGCCATTTCTGTGAGAGGGAGAAGTGAAGATGATTTCCCAGCAGCCTTTCAAACCCCTGTTGTTTTCAGGTGGATTGTAAAACAAGACAGGTAAATTTCTTTAAAAATTTAAACAGTGCCTTACATAACACACTGAGAAGGGAAACATTTTAAGGCACATATTCACTCACATTCTTCCCAACATCTTTCTCATGCTAGGCAAACATAAGTTTGAATAAAATCACTGCAAATCTGCATTAAAAAAATACAAACCAGAAAAAAAAAACAAAAAAGAAAAAACAAAAAAGAAAAAGATATATAAATCAAGAGTATCCAGACTAAACACATACCTGAAAAGAGCAAGTAAAAATCTTAATTTACTGAGCCAAGGTGTACAGCTCTCAAGGCTGTTTTCACCAACTCTTTTTTTTCTTTGAAGAAAACAAACTTTTTTTCTTTGTTCTGTGACTCAGAATTTCTAACATGATTCAGGGAAAAATAAAAACAACCCACAGATGAAGAAGAACTGGTTCATCTGAGAATTCTTTGGAAAGAAAAGGACAAATTGCAAATGTAATCTATAGAAAAATACATAAACCACTCCCTACAGCCAGCAGGTGCAAGCTAGAAGAACCTTAGGGACACTAAACAAGAAATTATCTTGAATAAACTCTTTTGGGTATATAAGCCTTGAGATTTTTATCAGACTTGGGAGGAAAAGGTGCAGTCTGGAAGGAGTACCTGTAAAAAGCTGAATGTATGTGTGCTGAATATCAGAACAAGTGTGGGAGAATGAGAGGAAACAGAGGTTTTTTTCCAGCTTGTCTGCACAATATCTGTCTGACTTAATTATCAACATCACTGAACCAGATGGAAGATTCCAGGTGGATTTTTCCAGTGGATCCACTTACCTTCACATATCAAATTAAAAAGCAACAGGGACTTTAATTTCCTTTCCACATGACACTGTCTTAAAAAAGCTAAATGTAATTTAAAAAAAAATATGGATAGGTGTTGAGAGATCAGGGCTCCTTTGCCCATGTCCAAAGCTTGCCAAATAGGGCACTCACAATGCACTACACAAACTAAGAAGCCAGTGAAGACTTTGAGTCAGTAGTAGTCTGAATAACAATAAGGAGAACTAGAAATAACATTGTTTATTTATAATTTTGATAGAACCATAAATGACTATGACAAATGAGTTTAGTTCACTTTTTGCATCTTAAGCCATAATGACCAGAGTTTGCATACAAAGCAATTAAGTTTGGCTGGATATTGTAAAGAACAAAACTCAATAATGCTATTGATGACTGGAACCTTTTAGCTGCAGTTTCAGTTAAGTTTCCTATAATGTGTCCTTTTTTTTGGTTCCCAGCACTGAATAGCATAAGTAGCTTTCTCTTGCCTCATTAATAATAAGAAGACAGCTAGATGCTGGTCCTAATGGAGTCCCCAACTTAATTTTTGAAATGGGCACTGATATCAGAGCATACACATTTCGGTAAGTTCCATTAACTAATGGCTGCTTTGGACTGTTTTGGGGATGCTGTCATGCTGACTGAAGAATGAAGAAAGAAAACTAAGCCTTCAGGTAGATTTGTTGATCCGATAACCTGAGGGATGAGCTGATGTGGGTCTGAACCAGGTCCCTCTGGCCTAACATGTGGGCTGAGTTAAAGATGGATTCCACGCTGAGATCCTGCCTGTGGATTGGCATGACTGATCTCAGAACAGTAAACCATGTGTAAAAGGACATAAACTTGACCAAGTCTATGGCTGCCTGAGAAATTACACTCATGCCCAGACTTTAAGTGTAAACATACACCTACAAGTGACAATATGACTTCGTACAAGTAAAAGTGTCCAAGAGCTGTAAAGTTTTGCAGACTATATTCTGCAATAGCATGTGCACTCTTCCTACCACAGCAAGAGATGATTGTTACAGGATAAGAGCTGACTGCATCACTATATTTCCTGTGTTTATTGGGTACGTGTTACAGTTATAAACATATGGCAGTCTTTAATGAGTCTCAAAAGCACCATTTTGAAGCAGAATAAGTATTCTCTTTGTCTAGCATTAATTATAGCAAGAGGTTCTAGGAGTGGCTTCAATAACCATTTAGATCATTTTTAACAATATTATGACTAACATTGAAACAAGACTCTCTCTGTCTAGCACAAACCAATAATGGTTCTCTATTTAAAACAGGGATTAAATATGATTCATTTCCTCTTTTTTTTTTTTTTAATTTTACTTTAAAAAGTGTCATTATAAAGATGCTTTAGAGTTCTAAGACGGAATTTTCGGCCTAACTTTCCTGAATCCCTGCCCATGCCAGCGTAATCAGGCACTGAGCATGCATTATGCAGTAAGTTGTAATGGTCCTTCTGCTCATCTTTAGATCTATAAAATGCATTAATGCACATAAAAGAATATTGTGACTGAATGTACTGCCCTTTCTCTTCCCCTGTTTCCTACTTTCCTTCCTGCTATGAATACCAAACTACTCTTTGTAGTCCAGGAATATTAGGTTTGGTTTCTGGATTCCCATTTCTCCATCAACTAAAAAAAAAACAAAAAACAACACTGGCTTATACACAAACTAAATATGTCTTCATTAAGTTTTCATTTGTATATGATTTATTTTCCCCATGTTTATGTTCTTTCTTACAGTAATATTTCACAAGACACCTAAGCCAATCTAACACTTCATTGTTGCCATAGGAATATGGGATAGTCCTTGCTTCTGGCTGCATACTGATTTAAGAAACCCTGCACTGATTTACTCTCACCTCAGTAGGAGAAAAGAGAACCAACTGAGAATTAAAAAACCTAAACTAATAGTGTTGTGAAACTCAAACTGTGTCAGCCTTTTTCCCTGTCATTGACTCATCTTTTCCTTCTTTCATCGCATTTCATCACCTACCCTCCAGCAACTATTTCCCTCTCACCTCAGCTCCCCACCCTCAGTTTACATTCTGCCTCAATTTAGCTTCAGAGGGGAAGCAAAGGTGAAAGAGGACCTTTAATGCTTCCACACCAATGGAGTCCTGAAACCCCACACCTGAAAGCTAGTAGGACTTAACCCCACCAGAAGGGGCTTTGCTGGTTTATAGCCACCCTGAACCAAGCACAGTCTGTTCTGCAGATGCACTTGGAGTCTTGGCTGGATCTGTGTGTGCTGGCTGCCAGCTCTCCCCAAAGTGCTCCCTGCAAATTGCAGAGGCAACTTAGGAGAGGTAAAGGTGTAAAAGGACTGGGCAGCTAAGGATTTTAGGTTTGTCCAGTTTGAAAAAAGGAAGCTGAGGGGCAACCTCATTGCTCTCTACATCTCCTTGAGGAGGGGAAGTGGGAAGGGAGGTCTGGAATGGTTCAAAGTTATGCCCAGGGAGGTTCAGATTCAAGATTAGGAAGCATTTCTTTACCAAGAGGGCAGTCAAAACCCACTACAGGCTTCCTAGAGAGGTGGTTGATGCCTGTCAGTGTTCAAGGAGCATTTGGACAATACCTCTAACAACATGCTTTAACTTCTGGTCAGCCCTGGAAGTGGTCAGGCAGTTGGATTAAATGATTGTTGTAGGTCCCTTCCAACAGAAATAGTTCTATCCTATCCTATTATGCTGGTTTTGGCTGGGGTAGAGTTGATTGTCTTCACAGTGGCTAGTATGGGGCTATGTTTTGGATTTGTGCTGAACACAGGGTTGATAATATAGAGATGTTTTAGTTATTGCTGAGGGGGCCTCTGGTGGTCTAGTGGTTAGGGTGCAGCACTTTCACCGCTGCGACCCGGGTTCGATTCCCAGCCCCCCGGGCAGATGGAGCTCGTCAGCCCTGTGAGGCAATCCATCTAAGAGAAGGTCACTCTAAACAAACCTATGTCCTGGGGACCTCACTGCCACTGTCCAAGCTTGCTCGGCCCCGGCAGATGAACCTCAGGATTAAAGGGTGGGCTCAGTTCAGCGCAAGCTGTGTCTCACCTAAAAAATCCACTGCGCAGGCTCGAAGGGTTAATGACCTTTCCCAAATCTTCGCTCGCGAAGACTGGCCATTATTATTAGTTATTGCTGAGCAGTGCTTGCACAGAGCCAAGGCTTTTTTTGCATTTCATACTGCCATGCTGGCAAGGAAGCTGGGGGTGCATGGGAGGTTGGGAAGAGACACAGCTGGGACAGGTGACCCAAACTGACCAAAGGGATATTCCATACCATATGACATCATGCTGGGGAAAGAAGGAGGAAGGAGGGGACGTTCGGAGTGACAGCGTATGTCTTCACAAGTCACTGTTAAGTGTGATGGGGCCCTGCTGCCCTGGAGACGGCTGAACACCTGCCTGTCCATGAGAAGCAGTGAATTAATTCCTTGTTTTGCTTTGCTTGTGTGTATGGCTTTTGCTTTCCCCATTAAATTGTCTTCATCTCAACCCATGAGTTTCCTCACTTTTACCATTCTGATTCTCTCCCCAATCCCACTGGTGGGGGAGTGAGTGAGTGGCTGTGTGGTGTTTGGTTGCTACCTGGAGTTAAACCATGATTCCTATCCTATCCTAATCCTAATCCTATCCTATCCTTCAGAAGGATAATCTCTGACAAACCTGAAGTTTAAACATGTTCCTGTGTTCCTCAGTGGGGAGGCAAGTACTGCAGCAGGAGCTCTTCCTTCAATAATTGCATTGGCATGATGCATTTTCTTCTGGGGGTAGAAGTTCACCCTTATAAAGACATTTCAAAGACAAAGGGGAGCACATGGGCTGGTTAAAAGGTATTGTTTGTACTTGGTGGCTTTGCTTTGCATTGCTACTGGCATGGGTCCAGTTGCGACTTAGAGCTACATAAGCAAGACAACACCAATTGACTTTGTAACTACCCGGGGTCTCAATTTCCTGGTATTAATCAGTTGTGCCACAGCCTTCAAACTAAGTAAGTCTATTTCACTACTGATTATAATTAAGGCATAAAACTGTATGTTCAGCATAAATCATTGTGATGCGCTGCACTGTAAATAGCTACTTAGGCAGGACTTCAAATCAAC